TGCCTTAATGTTTGAGGCACAGATACAGCAGTGAGCGTTAGCTGTCACGCCATCACAAGTCATCTTGCTGGAAAACCTTTCACCCTCTTCAGTGAGCTTCAAAGTAGACCCTAAAAACCAATTATGAAACCTGTCTACTTTGGCAATCCTCAGGTGGCAACATGCTTTCTCATGTGAATTAGTTTGGGTTTGGCCAATAGTGCCATGGCACTCAAAGTAAATTCAGTATGCTTTAGCAAGAAGAGCTGACACAATGCCAGTTCAGACCACTTTGAATGCTATTCATGCATGTGCGTCAAGACAGTGAAAGGATAGAAAACTGCTGTGAAGTTCTGAGCTAAATGTTTGCAGGAAAAACTCAAACATGTTTTAGGGATTACATTTCCTTAGTGAATCTGCAGCTAACTAACAGAATAGTATGGATTAAAAGCTGAATTGGTTTTGACTTTCAACTGAAAATTCTGTGTTCAACCACAAACTCATTACTACAAGATGGGGTAGGAAAAGGATTACGGTTTTCAATAAAAAAAAAAACAAAAAACTACAGAAGTGAACCCATTTTTCTTTGTTTACAGTTCTCTGTGTATAAAACTATATTTTCACCCTTTTTAAATCCAACCATTACAAATACTTGCCCTTCAAAGCAAGGAATTATCTTCTGTTTCCAAAAAGTCATCATGTACTGTTGGTAGGGCAAAACAGCTGCAACTAACTATCCTAACAGCAACTGTGCTACTGTTGTGTACAGACATGCCCAGCAGATAAATAAGCCCAAGCTGCATCTCATCGTGTGTATCTCTTGATCAACAAAGACCCACAACTTCAGTCATTACAGACAGAGCAATCAAAACATTTACAGTATCACATGCCCTGTAGACTACACAGGCTGTTTCCTCACACATTACCCAATGTCTACACCATCTGGATTCTTTTTACTTAAAATTAGAGAATTAAACTCCCTACCAATGAGGTTTATCAAGGGAAATTTGTGACCACCTCACTTTTTCAACTTTGATGAAGAGTTAGAAGAAATAAATACATTTTTTTTTTAATGTGTATGCACATACATACACACGAACTTATATGTATTTATTTGTTCATGTTGTTTGATGTGGCCATTGACAGAAGGCAGCGAAGTATTACAGCAGCCAGGTGTTGACCACTTGAGTGGCTAAGTTCCATTCTCTAATTATTATTTTTAATGTTTTCTTCCCTTTTCTTGAAATAAATAAAATAGCACATGAGATAAAAAATATATAAAGCCTCACTGAACACAGGACATGGCAATCTTACCACTCAGTGGAGCAATAAGTTTGAGTAGGGGAGACTTCATGATTGAAACACAGACGTAGGATCCCTGGGCCAAGAAACTAATTACCTGAGGAATAGACAAGGCCTTTGCAGATTTGGATGTACAACAGACACAAGCACTGAAAATGAAGTGGTGAGGGGAATAAAAAATTCTATTTTATAACTGTTGCTTTAGCTTATTTTCTGCGGGCTGTAAAGCTCAATATCCAAACAAGACCCATTCCAGAAAATTTAATCAGATAAAACCTACTCAGCTTCCTTTTCTTGACATTACATTTTAAAAATATGAATGATCTCTTCTTTACAAAAGAATTTAGAAAGTTTCAGTATGAACACTAGACAGCACTTCATTACTGGAAATTATTTACAAGGAAAAGAATTCCAAATATCAAAGCAGTTTAGGATTTTGTAAAGACAAACTATCTCACTACTTGAGAAGATCAATTCTTCCAGGTATATGAGCTTCCTATAGATATCATTCATTTCAGAATGAATTTTCAGGATTTTGTAAGACTACTACTCTCCAAGTGCCTAATGCAAGAACATAATTTAATCCTTCACATGCATTACTTACATTACCAGAAAGCACCAAGGTTGACTTCCAAGACTGAGAATTGATATAATCATGAAGTAGCTAACCCAAGTGAAAGTTAAATTCACAAATTCTGTTCTCACTAGTAAAAGCAAAAATTAAGTGTCTCAACACACTTGCTTTTCAGTAGCTTAATTAGGGATTGCTAATCAATGACTCAATTGTATCATGAACCAACCAAAACCACAGGAACCTTCCTCTAAAGCTAACAAAAACCAAAGAGGAACAATGAGGAAGAACCAGCTCCCCTCTTTGGTTGTGACAACATAAAGACCAAAAACTTTACAGCATAAGAAATACTTAGAAATTTCAGCAGTCTCTTGAGAATGCTTCTCCCCTCCACACAGCCACAACCAGCTGATGGAAATTCACAACTCCACACACCCTAGCAGCAGTCAGCTGCTTTTAGCTCTCCCTTGAAACTGCAAGACAGTTTGTAAGAAGGCCTGGAAACAGCTGTGGTCTCCACAGGTCTAAGACTGATTCAGTCAGCAAGGTTGAAAAACAAGAACTCATAATTCTTTCATTTGTTCTAGTTAAATACTATATGTACATTTCCCTTCTGCAGATAAGAGAATGTTCACTGTAGATTGCCATCCTCATACTAGCAAATATTCTCAAATACAAGTGAAAAGCATTTGACTGTTTCACTAAGCATGGTGAGGGGCAGAGGAGACACTGAGTTTAAGCGCTTCAGCAGCCAAGTGCGGCTTCCTGAAATAATTAGGATGGCACATTACACATCAATAAACTCTCACACTCTATAAACCTGCTATAAAAAGCCTCTAGCATCAGTGTCTCAGCTGCTTCTGAAGCAAATACACCTTCCCTGTTCTTATTTTTATAGCTTTCCATAACACGATTGCATTTGATCATAAAAATAACGGGATTAATCTGTATCTCTCCGCTTCTTCTGAGGAAACTGATCTGGGACTGCACCAAGCAGTCTCCACACTGCCTCCATGCTACCATCTTCGCTCAGAATCCTTTTTCCTTTTGATACTGTCTCATGTGAGATCAGAAAAGCCTCATCATCCTTCTTCAGAATGAAACAAAGAATATTGCCAGTTTCTCACTAAAGAAATAAAAACTTCTCTCTTTTTTTTCCTCCCTCAAACTGAATATACCTGTACTTGTCCACTCATCTCTTAGTTAAAAATATCCATGGCTCTCTTAAGCCATTCTGTCTCAAAAAATTGACCATTTTGGTCACAATTATGCTATAGCATACTTTTAAAAAAAGACATTAAATAAGTCAAAACCCTTTTTCCCCCTTCCTTCTTCAGTTTTCAAGTTGATTTTGTTTGAAGATTTCAGATGCATTTTTATGCTAATTGTTAATGTTTATATATACCCTATATATATATATATATACCTGTGTAGGGTACTTAATTCAACTTTTTCACCATGACACCTTGGACTAAGGGAGCAAAAGATGGCTTTTTCAGCAAGAAAGCAAAAGCAAAAATCTCAGGGTAACAGATGAACTTGGGATCCTTTGGTTAACAACATGTTAGGAAGGAGCCTTCTGCACAGCAATCACCTTTGAGCAAAGCTGTAAGTAGAAGAGATCTACATTTATGATAAAAAGCGCAGAGAATGTTTAAACTTCTTGTTTGAAGTGTGATAAGTTAAAAATGTCCACCTAAATTTCAGGGAAAAAAGAATCTACAAAGTCATTTCTTTGCAACAAGTTGATCAGTTCATCACACTGAGCAAATAATGGCATGTTTAATTATTGCGGGAATATTCTAGAAGGGCTGATGTTATATGTGACACTACAAGGGTTTTGATTAACCAGAAATTGTTTGGTAGAGTATATATGTCGTTTGCCTTAAGTCTTTCTGATTTTCAGAGATAAACTAAACCTATCTCCGTCCCTGCCAAAGGCTGACATTATGAACTGGAGAACAGTAATCTATATTATTTTATTAGTAAGTTTTACTATAGTCAGAGCCCTGCCAAGAAGTTATCGGGACACAGGTAAGAACATACCTCATGTTTTTATTCTGTTCTTTCATATAATACTGATGACTGCATCTTAGCATGCATGGTTATTTAGTATTGTTTTATCACTGCTAGTTCTACACTAGAGTTTTCTTGTAAGCGAAAGGTATGCAACAGAACTGTAGCTGTATAATTCCAGCTCTGTGATCAGCCTTAAAAATATCACTTCCTAATGTCTTGAGAGTCCATGAGCTGCATGATACAGGCTAGTCCATGCAAAGAGGATGCCCACTAAAAGGCAATTTAATCTATAGGAGTGTGGTTATTCCACTAAATTTCAGGTACTCCAAAACCTGTTGAAGCAAAGACTGCAAGTTGTTCTAGCATCCATACATAGTCCATGGGAGAAAGACATTAAAGTAAAGAAGAGGATGTGACATCCAGCTAGTTATTCAGTGTAGCTGTGTCAGGAAATTGCTCTTTATTATTCTTTGGAGAAGTCTTACTCTCCACTAACCTCTGAAGTAGCCTATGATGACTGCATTTGGCACTAAGTTTTAAGTCCCAAAAAAGAGAAAACTGAAATCCTCCCACAGTGTGCAGGTCAAATGAGTCTTTCACATTATATATTTCTATCATTGGTCAAATGTTCTCATCTTTAGAACTTTCAAATGCACTAACAACTGCTGTTTTTCCTATTTATCTTTAATCATCATTCCAACTGACATTTCCTCATTACTTAGGGAAACTGGGTTAACTCTTAGTTTTTGCCTGATTCTTTTATACTGCTCTCCGAACTACTGACATGGGTGTGAGATAGAACCATCCTGATTAGGGAAGATGCTCCTAATTTCAAAATTACTCTCTGAAAGTATTCTCTAGGAAACAAGAAACTCAAGAAACAATAGGATTTAGGCTTGGCCATTAATAAAAGATCCACTGGCAAAGGAAAATAGTTGCATATAATCTTCAGATAAATTGGACACATTCGTGTTCCACAGGGCCAGTTAATAGAGAAGGATGAGTTCTGTGATTTTTTGTTCACCAAGGTAGTCTTCAATTTACTGTGTATTTTCTACACAGGGAAGCTTTCACCTGCAGCCAAATGATCATCAAGTACACTTTTAAATAGCTAAGACAAGTCAACAAATGGTTTCTAAGATGTTTATTTAATCATGTGATGTGTACCACCATAGCTGAACACCTTCTAGGTTTGATTGTATCTCCCTTCCGCAAAGCATGAAATAGGCAGGGAAATTACATTGTAGCTCAAAAACAAATTGTTTCCCACCTTCAAGTCAAATAGATAGCATTGCCTCATGCCCTCCACTTTAGTAATAGTACTACTGGCACTGCATTCTGTTTTTCTGAAACTCCTGTATATTTAAAAAAGAAAAGTATTTGATGAAGCATTTGAAACATATTCTATTCAAACGCTAATTATCTTGTTTTTCAGAGGAAAAAAACAGCATCAGCCAACGGTTTTCTCAGCTGCAAGAGAACAATTTTAAAGCCATGTAAGTTGTCTGGGTAAAGAATCTACTTGCAAATTTGCTTGCCAAATTTGCTATGGCATTTTGTGTCATTTGGAGATGAGCACGCAATGCAAGTTGCACACTCCCTGTTCCATCAGCCTGAGCGAATTGGTGATAGAAGCTCTCTTACTGTCTCGTGCAAAAAGTAATACAGTTATTTTTATTTTTTAGATAGACAGAAGCATTCTTAATGATCTCCATTCTTCTTATAGAGCCATGATCATGTTTGCGCAGTACGTGCAAGGAAACACATTTGGCCAAGTGGTTAAAATGGCTGAAGCTGTAACAGACTTTGCCAAAAGGTGCACTGACGTAGACAGAGACAATCCAAACTGTCAGAAGCCTTTGGTAAGCAAGCTTGTACTTTTAATGCAGTACAGATTTTCAGAAGTGACATAATTTCAGGGTACTGGTATGCATTTTTCCAGCAGGAGTAAGATATTAGGAGACATGGTTTACTTGTGTGTGAATGTTTGCTCTTATTGACTCTTTCCTTCTCCATGCTCCCACCTAAAAGACATCTCAAGATGAGCAAAGGATGACAAAGTCCTTCATAGAAAATAACACAGTAGCTTTTGAAATCCTTGACCTCTTAAAATGTTTGTAAACTTGTGCTTTTATGTCTATCATAACAGAACTCAGTAGAAGTCAGATTACATATTTCTAGCAACTATGATGCTCATAGGAGCTTTCTCCACTCCATTAACTCACATTGCTAGTATTCAGTGGAGTCCACTTCAATGTACTGTCAGAGATCAGCAGATTGAATCATGGAAAATGGATATCAGTCTGTTACAACTCTTATATTTGTTAAGCAAGGGGCTGACGCAAATCCTGAATTAAAACAATTCCCAGCTGAAGCATGACTGACAGCAAACCTGAGCATTGCTATGTGATGAACAAGGAACCTGAGAACTGTTGTTACACAAACCTGAGACTTGTCACTACACACTGATTTTAATTAGAAAAGAATATGGATCCCGTTGAGATATACAAATCAAACAATCATCTTGACTCTAATCAAGAAATGAGGGTCTGAATGTTTTAAGTTCAGTGGAAGCTGAACAATATGTTTGAAAACTGTCTCATAATAAAGTCTATCTTGGCATAATAGTAGGTACCAGAAATTGACATATGTTTTAGAAGTCACTCTGACGCTGCAGGCAAAGCAGCGGTAGTAAAGAGAGAAACTATACATTTACGCAAATTAGGGCTTTTTGGGTTAAAAAGTCTCCTCAGAAAACTCATGGGGGTGAAATAGAATCCTCACACACATTAGCTTTTTTTCCTAATTTTTCACAGGACAGGATCTTCCTCAACACTATATGCCAGGAGGACAATCTTCCTGGATTTACTGACTGCTGTGCTAAAAAGGACCCTGAAAGAAATGATTGCTTCCTCTCCCTTAAAAATTCATCAAAAGGATTCATTTCTCCTTTTGAAAGGCCAAATGCTGAAGTTGCCTGCAAAAATTATTCAGAGCATCGCCATTCATTACCAGGATAGTAAGTAAATGACTCATAGATTTGTTGTCTGCATATAGTGGTTACGAGCCTTGAGACCACAAATGCAGTATCAAACAAAAAGTTCAATGAGACTTGCTGTAGAGCCATCCTCTTTTTTCTTCCTAATGATAAATATTTGAATAATTCATCCAGGTCTATTTCTCATCATGTGAAACCTGTTCTACCAAAGCCTACTTTGAATATAGGTCCAAACAAATAAAAAATAAAACAATCTGATATATCTCATTGTAGTTTAAATAAAGCACTCACCTGAAATACTAGGGATTTGTCTTTAGTCCTTAAAAGCCAAGCAGATGTTCCGCTGCCTCTAGACCAGAACTGGAAGGATCTCAGCCTTTAATTTCCAGAAAAATGTCAGAATTCTTCCAAGACACACTGCATCATACAGCTTGTTGTTTTGCTACAATACCACTGCAGCTCCCTACGTTTCAAGGCTTAATCTGATATTAAAAACATTTATCTCTGTTTTAGTTTTATCTATGAGGTTTCCAGAAGGCATCCTTTCCTCTATGCCCCTACAATCCTTTCTGTTGCTATCCATTATGATGAGATGATGAAGGACTGCTGCAGAAGCGCTGAAGACTCCACTCATAACCTGGAGGAATGCTTTCGGAGACAGGTATTACAAAGTGAGGTTTGGTTTTGTAGCATGGGACCAGTGGCTTTCCCATAACAAAACAAATGCTCAAAGAGAGCTATTGATTATTTCTTTTTCAGCCTCTGCATCTGATGTTAGAATTCACCCTGCTAAGGACAGGGTGAAATATGACTTGAATGCTACTTAACTACTTAAATGAGTAGTTTTACCACAAAGCATTTCCTTGGCTTTCTTCCATTTTCACAGTCTGTACTGTCTTTCTACTAGGCCCCAAAGGTGGTGAAGCCCATCAGAGAAGATGGCCTGAGGCAGGAACACACATGTGGAATCCTGAAGAAGTTTGGAGAACGGACAATAAAGGCTTTGTGAGTCTTCCTGATGCTCACGAAACAAGGCTTTGGCTTCTTTGCTTCAGCAGTAGACTGGCCACACTCATTGTTAAGATGCAATATGTTGCTTGTTCCAGGGCTTCCTGGATGCTTCACTGTAGTCCCTTAGGCATACGCATTTTGAAATACATTGTGGATGTCATATGTCAGCTGAAAGCAGATCTGCACCTGCATGCAATACAATGGATGTGAATATTGCAACATCGTCTTTCTGTGCAGGCCAGCAGTGGCACCTAACAAGGCAAATGGACTAGTACAAATTGATGCATGACAGTACTCACTGTTTTCTCTTGGCGATTTGATGTTTACGAGCCAAATACAGTTCAGCTCATATAAGACACAAGATTGTTATTGTAATTTCATATTCACCTACCACATTTCTGTTTTCTCACACTAAATTTCACTGGAGATCCTAAGATAACTCTGAATATCTCAGCCTTTGGCTTCAATTGGCATTTTTTTATCAATATCAGTGACAGCAGTAACAGGCCATTTCTGACCAGTTTGCATACAGACCTCTACAGACAAGTAATGGAAGCTATCACAGTTTCACACTGAGAATATTAGCAATAACTATTTTTCTTCATTTTAGGAAACTCGTGCAGATAAGCCAGAAATTCCCTAAAGCTGATTTTTTTACTGTTACCAAACTTGTGTCGGATATTGCTAACATGCACAAAGACTGCTGTCGTGGAGATATGCTGGAGTGTATGCGTGATAGGGTAAAACATTTAATATTTATGTACATTTGCAGAAATTATATGCCTTTTCTTCTTGTTTTCAGATTTTTTTTCCTTCTGTGTTGTACTGTTTTCTCTGGAGATTAATTTTTCAGACTAAAACATGGTTGATTATCCCAGTTTACTTTTTTCTGTCATGAAGTCTTTAAAAAAAGTCAGCAAATCAACTTTGTGACTAAAACGGTCTAATTCTGTTTTAGGGAATCCTGTTGCAGCTTCTAGCTGTGCCATATATTTTCTGTTCAATTTTCAGCAAAACATGTATCTGCCTTTCCTCTGTTCTCTCTGCTTTCTAACGTATCAAACCCATCTATCTCACTACTTGTCTGTGATGCCTAGCTAGATAACTAACTTCTCTGTTTAGGTGGTTATCTGGAACCTATCAAATGGAAAGCAAAAGGCTTCAGCAGGTAGAGTAACATGACTTCTGTCCTGTTCTGCCATATGACTACTGTACAGCAGTCTGTACAGCTGACTGCTTTCAGCTCCTTCTCCCCTTTGAGTGTCCCCTTCTCTGGTTGTAAAATGGGGATAACAATGCTAATAAAAAAATTAAAAATTAAAAAAAGACCAAAATCTGATTAAACTTCCTTTGTTTGCTTTTCAGGAAGAAATTCTACACTATGTCTGCACTAACCAAGACATCATATCAAGTAAAATTAAAAAGTGCTGTGAAAAGCCACTGCTCCAAAGAACTGAATGCATTGTTAATGCAGAAAATGATGACAAACCTGCAAACTTGTCTCCCCAGGTTAGGGAGTTTATAGAAGACAAAGGAATATGTGAACGCTTTGCCCAGGAAAAAGATACCCACTTAGCCAGGTAACATGCATCTTCCTCCAGTCTTCAATTTTGCTGTTCTACTACTTGAGTTACAAGATGGCAGTTTGAAAGATAAAGATCAGCTCATTTAGCCTTGGATTTGTCTGCACTCTGAGCATGTGGGCATGTAGGAACTGCACAAGGTTATTGTCATAAAATACCAACCTTAGAGGGTATAGAATGAGAACAAATGCTGAACAAGACACGATTATTTCAGAGAAAACTGAGGAAATGCATGTGAAATTTAGGTACTATCAGTTCTGATCTTAGGCTCAAAATCTAGCTTTGATACACTCTTACATGGGAATAAAAACACATACCTAAATGATGCTTATGTCTTGATTCAACAGGTTTGATCCATTTCTTTTCTAGACAAGTTCCTTTGTCTGACAAAGCCCTGACCCCACCTGCAGCAAATTTAGGAAAAAAAAAAAAAAAAAAAAAAAGCCACAAGCTGCAACAGAAACAGCATCAAGTCACAAAGATAATTAATTTACTTCAAATGACATCCATCACTTCCATTTACGAACAGTGCAGCTAAGAGATTGAGCACAATGCTACATAGAGTGACTGCTTTTAAGACAACTAATCTTTTCAAGATCTTTTGAGAAATGGCTCTGTTACTGGAAATTATTTCATTTAGATAGGAAGAGCTTAATGAGTCATGTTCTGTTCAAGTTGAATTCTGGGCTGTGATTTTGTGAAATTCTTCCCATTACATGGAAGGTCAGATGAAAGCAACCCAAAATCATCCCTATTGTCCTTACCATCCCCAGTCTCCTGAAAGCCATGGTTTGGTCTTATTGCTAATTCCCAATGCATACATATTGCAGGTTTCTTTATGAGTATTCCAGAAGACATCCTGAATTTTCTGCTCAAATGCTTTTAAGAATAGGTAAAGGATACGAGGACCTACTGGATGAGTGCTGCAAAACTGGCTCTCCAGACAACTGCTGCAGCAGAGGGGTAAGTGCCTTCTATAATACATGGATGAATTCAGGCACACAACCACACAGCTTGTTCTGGCTAAATAGTGCTTCTGTGGGTATCAGAGCTACTGGGGATGGGACAGGAAGAAACCTTCTCTTGGTGTGCATGTCTGATTTCCAGTATCCAGCCTCTTCCTCTCTCTGTGGATAATTTGCAAGAAGCTGCTGCTGCTTCTATAATGATTTAACATGGATAGATAGAGATGCCAGTGGGAGGGATGGAGACAGCATTTCTGTGAGCCCCACTCTCTGTTAGGCTCCCCTGCAGCACCACTTGCCCACTTGAAAATTGAAAAGGCCTTACTCAGAGGGTGGTGAGGCACTGGCACAGGCTGCCCAGAGACCTGTGGGTGCCCCATTCCTGGAGGTGTTAAAAGCCAGGTTGGATGGGGGCCTGGGCAGCCTGGTCTCATGGGTGGCAACCAGCCCATGGCAGAGAATTGGAACTGGGTGGGCTTTAACGTCCCTTCCAAGCCAGTCTCAGATATAGACATCTGCATTGCATACGTCTGAAGCTCGGAGGAACTCTGCCTCAAACCTAGCCCTCCATTACTTATAGAATTAATATTTAAAGATGATTGAAGTGGACTTCTGTCACATTCAGGCAGTTTAGAGGTTTTAGACAGGTTTCTAATGAAGTTAAAACTTAGTGGTGCATTTCAGGTGAGAGGCAGCTATGGAGATCAAGGCCTCATCATAAGGCAATAGGACATTCTGCATTCCCACTGATAAAGTGATTCCTCAAATTAATTCTGTTTCCTCAGGAAGAAGAACTGAAGAAACACATTTATGAAACTGAAAGTGTGATGAAAACAAGCTGTGACATTTACAAGGAGAAAGGAGATTACTATTTCCAAAACGAGTATTTATCTTTTGTTTTTAAAACATGTTTCTGCTTACCTGATGCCTGTACCAGATGGGAACAATGTAGGCTACAATTAATTCATAGATGAGAAAAAGGCTGGGCTAAAAGACATCATCTGAATGTTTGGTCCAATAAGTTGTAAGATTTTCTTTCCTTCTAACTTCCAAGACAAAGTTTTCTCCTCACCTGGCTCCTGAGGCAGTGAAATGAAATGACAACCTGTTCAATCTCTCATTCACTTTTGCTATGCATTGGTGTTTTTTGTTTTTGCTTTGCTTTATAACTGCATTTTTAGCTGTGAGATGTAACTTAAGAGTCATGGCTAAAAGGCCATTTCTGCACCTTCTGCAAAAGACCTTTCTCTAATTCCATCAGCAAATACAAATACTAACAACTGTAACAAAAAATTAACTACAGTAGACTGGCTTAGCTGTGTGCTGTGCTTCAATGCAACATGCAGGCACAAGCCTCCTGCAGGAATTCTGGCCTTGATTTGCAATGTTAATGAGCACATGCCTAACAAAGTATGTAAGTAATTTCAAATCTATAAACTGCTTGCATGAAGTTAGGCTTCTGCTGTCTTTGTCGGGGGAGGAAGATAAAGAGAGCTTTTTGTACTCTTGGGCACATTCGGTCTTTAAAAGACTTCTGGAACTAGAGGTTTCCAACAAATCCAGTATGCTACTTCTGCCTAGTGTACCAGTTTTTATGGCTCCCCCAGCCACCAGGACTAATAAGCACAGTTTTTAAGTAGAAAAAAAAAAAAAAAAATCAACTTTTTTGAGCTTATCTCCTGCTGAGATCAGCTCTGCCAAGAAGTCACTCGAGTTCAGTTTTGCTTCTAAACAAGCTCCCTGCACTCCCAGGAAAGTGAACAAAGCAGGGAAAATATACATACCATTTCATAAGAGAGCCTACCAAAATATAAACAGCAATATTAGCATTAATTTTATTTAGCCTGGTAGGAGACTGGTCAGAAAAAGGAGAGATCTCACAGGGAGCATGCTTATACTTGCCTACATGAGTCTGTAAACACCAGGCTGAGTTCTGCCTTAGTAGGAATGAGTGTTCTGCTGTGGGATTTGGCTGGAGCCTTACACAGTTGAAGGCAGTGGCTTGCTCACTGTTAGCTGCTTGAATGTAAGCACCAATATCAAAGAAATTATCATTTCAGGCTTCTCCTGAGCTTCACCAAGAAGATGCCTCAGCTAACATCTGCAGAGCTGATAAAATTCACCAAGCAAATGACTACAATTGGCTCCAAATGCTGCCAGTTGAGCCAGGACAAGCTATTGCCTTGTGCTGAGGAAAATGTAAGTTTGGTGGTTTTTTTGTTTCCTTACTAGTCTTAGTCCTATTTTTTTTCCTGAAGCTCTGTGTCAATTCCTACTACAAGCAAAGTCCAATAGTTTGGAGTACTAGCAAATGAGCAAAATGCTCAGTGAGGTATTAAGCTGCCCTGAAGAGGTACTTCCACATACACACCTGCAGTAAGCATAACACTGTTACTGAAGTCAATGCTTGAATTACTCTCTGTGAGCATGCACTGCAAACAATCCATTTAGCAGAACGAATTCAGGAAAAACATTCAGCAGAAAAAATCCCTTTTATCTTACAGACAAAGCTTAATTTAAATCTCAGTTATCATTTATAACTTTACTAAAAGCAGCATCTATATCAGGGATTTATTAAAATAAGGGAATAACATGAAATTGTGTTTTTTTACCTCTTCCTGTAAAGCTGGATCTTGTGCTTGGAGAAATATGTAGAAGACACCTGACCAATCCAATAAACCCTGCTGTTTGCCACTGCTGTAGTAGCTCCTATGCTCTCAGGAGGCCATGCATGGGGAAACTAGAAATTGATGAGAATTATGTGCCTTTATCATTAACACCTGATCTGTTCACTTTCCACGAAGACTTGTGTACAACTGAAGAAGAAAAGTTACAGCACAAGAAACAGGAGTAAGGCTCACCTCTTTCACTCTCTTACCCGTGTTCCTTATTTTTACCCTGGCAATGCTTACCTTTCCCTTGTCCACTGTACTTGTCTGCCTTCTATAAAATGCCTTGGAAAGCAGCCATGTCCAGCCTCAGCAGCGCACCTACCTAACTGCTTTTGTTTCTTCTTATCTTTGTCCTACTTTCTTTTGCAGTCTGGTTGAACCTGTATTTATCTGCCTTTAATTAGAAGAAAGTCATTTTTCAGAGGTGGGTAGCTGTACTGGTATGTACAGCACCAGATAGGAAGCAATAAGTGCCCAAAGTTAGCTCCTCACACTGTACTCTACAGAAACTGTGAAAGTCATATCATAAAAACATACCAGAAGAACAAGGAAGCTAATGCACGACCTTTATGGTTTAACTGAAGCTTGTCTCTCAGTGAGACCGCCTATGTATTTATCCAAAACCCAATCACTCCTTTGATCTCTGGATGCTTGTTCGCCTTTGTCAGAGAGAACTGTCATGCTGGACCTCCCACTACAAGGAAAAACAAGTTATCTTGGATAACTCATGCTATATTAAACTTATATTATCTAGGACACTCTTGAGTGGTAACAACACAAACGATTTGTTTATGATTTGTTCAGGGATATTAGTGGTGGAACAACTTCAAAAACAAGCACTACTATTTTACTTCACAGGAGAATAGGGAGATGCTCCCCACTGCAAATACCTGCCTGGTTGTTTCATAAAGATGAAAAAAGCTATAGAAAGCAAGTGGATAATAAGAAAACAAAGATCTTACTGGACTAGTGATTGAGAAGTGCTTCTTAAGCTGTGTGCTCACCTTCCAGCTTCACAGGACTTTGCTTCCCTTGCAGAATGCTCATCAACCTCATCAAATACAAGCCCCAGATCACACAGGAGCAGTTGACTTCCATCACTGTGGCTTTTACTGCCATGAGGGAACAGTGCTGCAAAGAAGAGAATCGTGAGGCATGTTTTGTGAAAGAGGTATTTGTTCCACTTTCAACTGTATATTCTTAATCAAAATGAAAGCACTTAAGTGTAAATTTCTCCATTAAGCAACAAAAAACAAAGTCTGTTTTTGCAATTTGCAACAATTCCTGTGGTTACTTTTCCAAAGATCTTTCTCTAGCTAACAGTACTTGACTGAATTTCCTTTTAAAACAAATTCCTTTGCAATAGGGAGGGAAGGAACATTCAAAATTTTGTCAAGGTATTTCCTGTACTTATTTCTCTATTTCTGATTTTCTCTCACCCTTCCTGTGTTATTTTAGCTTTTTGAACTTCATACTACAGAGCTTCTTAAATTTTTCTCTACCTTTGAGTACGCTTGATTTTCCTTATTTCTCATCTCTCTCCAATGTATTCCTTAACTGAAGCTTAAGAAGCTTTCCATGACCCTTGAGAAATGTTCAGCTCTGCTTTACCCAGCCAATCTACAAAGAACCACGCTGCTAGCTCTTTATAATAAAACTACTTCAGTGTTTTTCCAACAAATACAAAACCAGCTAAGACCATCTGAGCTGAGCAGCAGAAGTATCATACATACATGTGTTTGCACACAACTCGCAAAGATATAAAACGTTAAGGAATTGACTTACTGATGTACACACGTTATTTTTTTTTGCAAGTACGTTATCTTAAAGAGTGGTCAGGTGCTGACACAAGCTGCATGACAGTGGGGTCACCGTTCCTGGAGGTGTTCAAGAAACATTTGAATGTTGTACTGAGGGACATGGTTCAGTGGGAAATGTTGGTGGACAGTTGGACTGGATGATCTTAGAGGTCTTTTCTGACCTTGGTGATTCTGTGATTCCACGATCCTTCTGATTTTATTGCTTATAGTTGTTTTGCTTCTTTCAGGGTCCAGAACTTATAAAAAGAAGTGAAAAACTGCTGTCAGCCTAAGGAGCTCATTTAGCATATTGGAAGATATTGGTTGAATGCTATGTAGTTGCACAAATTAAATACTAAGCGTACCTTTTCTAAATATTCATGAAGTATAAACAGGAGAATATGAGTTATCATAGTGGAGAATACTGTGCTGTGGTTCTTTACCTACAAACCCAATGAAGTCAGTACAATTTTCACCAGCTATAGTTCTGCCAATGCCTGATTTTTTTCCACCGTCAACAAGGTAAAGAGGTGCCTCCAGTAAAACATCACTTTCTGAGAAAAATCTGACAAGCTATGAAACTGTAAATGCAGTTTGCCTTCAGATCTGCGCCTAACAGAAATTTATATAAGTGTATGAATTTCATTCAGATGTGGGAGAAATTTCTGTGATAACTTAATGTGTAGCTCATATGCCCTTGATTCAAAACAATCATGAACACGTAAAATTTAAACCAAAGCAAATAACTTAAACCCACTTGAATCCAAAAATAAGGTGCAACACAAAAGGTAACTGGATGGAAAATGAGGTTTTAAAAGTGTCCATAATCTTATGCTACAGAACATTATTTTTCTTGTATGAAATGGTCATAGAAAAAGAAAAAAGTATTCTAATCTGGCTTCTTATGAATCATAAAGAAAAACAAGATTGAAAAAATCTGACCATAACAACTTTTAAAATATTTCTGAATCACCAAATATTTTTGGATATTTTAATAGAACTGTCTTTGAAATACAAAACATTCATTCACTAATAAGGGTTGCAGTAGGGAACAGTAAAATTGCCTTTAAGCACAGAAAGATTATCTTGGTCATCCCAAGCAGAACAAGGAAGAAGATAGATGAGCAAAATGTCATTAAGATGAAATGTGACACTTTTGGTCAGCAGACAAACACTTAGAGAAAGCATCAGAAGGCTGCAGAATTTAAAGTATATAATAAGAGATAATTTTTCAGAGTCAGATTGAAGAAGTTGACCAAATGAAGCCTTCTCATAATCCATCTTGTGTATATTGCCAGGCAACATTTTCATTAATGATATAGTGAAAGGAAAAACTATTCATTAAATGTGTGACAGACAGTGGACAGAGACTGTTGCAGATCTCACTGCAGCATTTCTGATGTCAAAATCATCTTGGCATATTACAGAAATAGCCTAGGAAAACACCAGCTGTGTTCTGTGAAAACAAATTAAACATTTGACATAAGTATAACTAAGCAACTGCAGTAGTACAGTACAGGAAAAATATTCATTACAGCGTTGAATGAAAAACAATGCAGTTACAACAAATCACAAACTGATCAAGAGTCACTGATATTTTGCTGCTAAGTGAAGCCTAGCATCATGCTTGCATGCTGGTGGTACAAACACAATACTAACTGATAAAACAGAAGAACGAGATATATCAAATATGCATCACTGTTTTGTTTTTCTCACCTTTCATCAGGACTTTGCTGAAGTACTTGAACAAATCTGGGGTCTCAGTTGCAGACAGAATTTCACTGAAAAGAAAGCAACAATTAACAGTCAAAGTTACACTAAAAAAAAAAAAAAAAGGGAAAATGAGAGTAGATTGGGGTTGTGTGGTTTAGTAAGAAAGGTTTTAAGAACATGTGAGTCTTCACCTGTTGAAAAAAGCAGGTCGCAGGACAAAGAGAGCCAGTCAGCACCTAGCAGGAAAAACAAAGCACTGAAATCAATGGTCTGGGAACAGTAGGGAGCTTCAAAAGAGAGAGCACACACTACCCAAGATCCAGTGATGTTTTCATACAGAAAAATAAACAAAGAGATCATCAAAGAGATCATCAGCACAGTTTTCTCAGGATTTAATGTTCTAATGTACATCACTCTTCCAGAATCTGGGGGTTGGGTTTTGGCGGTGTTTTTGAAAAAAAATTATCTTTCTTCCTCAAAGTCCAGTGATGACTTGGGGTTTTTCTCACTGGGTTGTTTAGTAGCAGCAAAATTATATAGTATTTTTTACTCTAGTATCTTCTTCATTATGTCTTAGGACTTGAATTTTTTTGTTCGTCTTTGAATTTTTTCATTACTGCTACCTTGAGTTTGGAATAACACTTTGGAATAAAATCTTCCTCTGTTCTTGTCAGCATTTGTCAGAAACAGTTCATTTAAGCGACCGCAGTATTCACACAACTCACACCAGTGTAACAGAGCAGATTTATTTCACTAGTGCTTTAAATCCAGCAACCTACATTTGTATTTGTGCTAGGCTCCATTGTTAGTTTTCCAGTACCATTTAGTCCTAATTCAACAAGACAAGTGAATTCAATGGGATCCAAGTGTTTAACATCAGACGATGGCAAAAAATGACTCAATTTAGGAACACACAGGATTGGACAGTCTGCTTTGCAAACACTTTTCCACATGCTCAGTGCACTGGCACTGTCTTTCTTTTTAGTTCTTCAAATCTCAGACCAAAGAATTATGACTGTACCATGCTCCATTACTTTCATACTGCACATTCATACAACCACAAGCATTTACCAAGTGGAGCACAACAGAAATAGGCTACCTACACAAAAATACCTTAAATACATCTTTCTGGTCAAAACAATGAGAAGATGCAGCAAGGCAGCAGACAGCCCTACAGCACTTGCAGTTTTTTGGGTGCATGCTAGATTTTCTCCCTGCTCATAAGTTTGAGCTATCTGCATATTGTTCTGTGTTTCAGTTCTGATTTGCTCCTTAGAGTAATTTAGGCAGAACAAAGCAAGAAATACAATCCAATATGGGTCTGTTCCCATACTTTAGCATAGTTTCTAATGTCTCAGTATGGCTAGCTGGTGCCAAAACATACCTGTCTGCAGCTGAACAAAAAATGACAGTGCTTGATTTGGTTCAAGCTGACAACATCTTGGCTTTGGACAAAGAACAAGACATGTCCTTTGACTAACTACTTAAACTTCACTGAAATTTGACCTTACAAGCCCAACCTGTAATGTTTCATGGTGAGTTTCCTATCTCCTAAACACTTGGCTAATCAATATATGAATGGTTCACCTGTGAAATTTCAGTGACATTTGCATGCATCAATGAACTGACATTGGCACTCCCAAGGCAACTATTACAGATGCCATGCATCTTGCTTGACTACCGAATTGTTTTTATTTCTCCCCTCTGTGCTCCCATGCCCACAATAATTTCCTCTGTAAGATTATAATAGATTGCACGTTAAAATAAGCACCTGCCCCAAGCAAAATAGTTTAATTAGCACAATGACTTCTCATTTTTTAGTTACCATCCAAGTAGTGTCACCTCACAGGGAGTACAGCTTTTCACACTTGATGTATTCCACGTGATTTCTAGATATTTTCTGTAACCAATTCCCTCCCTCTCAGCACATACGTTCTATTATCTGCAGAAACCAAACACACTGCTGGTACAAAACACAGACATCACATTAAAAAGAAGGTACTACAGGAGGGCACTTGATTGTGCACATTTTATTTACATCTCTACAATTTGAATTTTACTATTCAGCATGATTGAACCACATAGGATCTGACAGAGGAATGCTGTACACTGTGCAACTGTCAGACTGTCCAAAAACTGCATCTGCAGAAGGATGCCAACCCCATCCTGTAAGAGTTTTGATGTCAGCCTCTCACTAAACACTTCTCCTTTCCTTCTTCAAATAGGAAACAGAGAAAGTAACATGGAATAATATGTCTCAATGAAAACACGGGATGCCTTCTAGCACCCAGTCAAGCAAATGCCACAATACTTTGTGAGGATTCTTTGCAGCTTAAAATAAGTGTCAGAGATACTTTTGCTCATACAGTTAAGAGCTGAGTAGCCATGAAGATGGTGGACTTTGAATTTATATTCTTCAAACTTCGACTCAAAGGTTATATGAGTTACTTACCTACCAATTGGAAGCCACTGGGCTTTCAGGTCTCTCTTATGTAGGTATTTTTGTAAGCTATGTGAAATGCCTAACTGCAATCTTAGATACATAAATACCTTTTGCCACTTAACTCTACAGAAAAGCTTCCTCCTAATAAAATTTATCATTTTTTCTAACAGAAGGAAAGTCATATACTTTCTTTTCTTATTTTTGGCATGATTAGCACACTGGTTATTGCAACATTTTCCAGATTCTTGGTAATGGTTTGGAAATTAGAAGATTTTAAAGCCTTTGCTTTTCAGAACAGGACTTTTCCCAATCTGAAGTTTCAAGTCAGATTCAGACTTTGTCTTTTGGATGATTTAGTCCATCTTCTTAGGTGGTCCCCAACTTGCATTCTAGAGCCATAGTGGAGTGTGTACAGTTTCAGTCGCGTAATTGTCAAAAGAAGCACTTTGCACACCTTTGTGCTCTAAGTGCTCTTCAGTGATGGCACATTCAAGAAAACACAGACTTTCCTTTGCCAAATGCAGTGGGTGGTAGTTGCAATATGCCAAATCACATCAAACAGTAGTCTCTGTTTTTTTAAAAGTTCGATTTTGAAGGTGCTGGCATATCACACGCTTCTCTTTAAGGTATCTGAGAGAGAGAAAGAGAGGGAAAGGAGAAGAGAGAAATAGTGTGTTTAATCACACAGAATCCTTTAGAAAACATTTTTAACCTGAACTTGAACATTCTAGTTGAATGGGTAAAAAAAGTTGCAGTGAAAGCCATTCTAACAGAAAACGGCAATCGCTTGTATTTATTTATTTTTTTTCCTCTGTTCCTGGCTATTTTTATTCAAAATGATTTGATGGACATTAGTTAGCAGATTCACAGCTAGTTTAGATTCACATTGGTTTCAACCTCATGGTTTCAGAGCCACTGGTGTGGCTTTAATCTCCAGCTGTTGTGAAAACTGAGCTACCATCAAAACCACTCCTGCCATTTTTCAGAAATTAAGTTCTAAAGGATATTCTTCTGCATCTGGAGTTCTGCATCTGTCTAAAATGAATGCAGTGACACTTAAATAGTACCACACTATTTACTGCATTTACACATTCCAGGGAAATACACAGCAGCAAGTAGAAACTGAAGTACCAGTCTAAGGCTCACAAGACATCCAAATCACAACAGAAGTGACCCTGGGGCTCCCAGTTTTATGAAAAAACTCTAACCTTGTATAAGAGGTCTGGAATTTACTCTGGTATCTTCCACAGCAACAGCTCATTTAGGGATGCAGGATACAGAAACAATTGCAATTCCCACAAAGTTCAGTGTAAGCAGTAACTGCACCCTGATACATAAATGCATTAATCTATTGAGCCAAACTATAACTGTAAGAATTCTAATGGACTGAAAGTGATCCCCCCAGATTTCATTTCTATTTACTTTGCAATTGTCTGTTGAATCTCCTGTTCTTCTTCTTTGTTTATTCTGTGCAGAATTGATTCCAAAAAGGGGAGATGAAATTGAATATATTGTGCAACCTATCAAGACAATGAAGAGAAATGCTCATTAGTGACTATGTTAACTGGGAAAAATACTGTTAACTGTTAGAATGATGATATACATACATCGCTGCTGACCTCTTCCACATCCCTGTCCATGAGAAAAAACTTGGCAACCTTCTCTGATGGCCCCTGCAGGAGTCTGTGCAGCAAGGGAATGTCTCCACTTCTCAGCTGCTTCTTTTCTGAGATTTAAAAGCAACGTGCTGATACATAGAATATACAATAGTTCTTCTGAGTACTAGATGCATCTGGAAGTCTTGTTTCTTGGCAAAGTTTCTATCTTTGCCTGATGTGCAATTATTATGGATATAACAAGTCTCTAATGCATATTCCCAGGAAGATGTGGCACCTACATTTATACTACCATATGCCAGTGTCTTTCAAAATGCAACACAAAGGAGTTGCAGTTTAGGTAATCAAGTACATGTTTAAGAGATTAGTTCTAGGCCTGACAATGCAGCTGTAACTCACTGAAACAAAATTCACTTCATAATTTTCAAACATCCTTTCAAACTCACATTTTGATATTTAAGGTACATTTCCCTCAGTTCTCCCATTCTCTCAAGTATTATTTTTAACAAAATATATATATATATTTTCAAGAAGAAATAGAATCGTAATGCATTACGAAAGTGGGTATTTTCTATTAAAACTGAATACTTTGAACTAGACATCTGGGGGATCCAAGACTATGTCTCAAAATTGTGAAGTCCAAATGAAGTGCGTTTAGTCTGGTTTTGACAGGTTAGCATTTCAAAGCTGAGCTGGGTATCTTCCAGCACTCCCTAAAACCTTTATATCCCTTTTCCAATTAAAATATTCCATAATACTGCCAGATGGAAACTGGCATCCCAAGACTGTCATGTGGTCATCTAGAACAGAAGTAACAGCAGAAGAGCATCTCAAGTAGATGTTAATTACAGGAAAAGCTGAGGCTTGTTTAATGGAAGCAGCCATACTCACAGTACTCAAAGCACCCAGAACACAATTATTCAGGTTTTCCTCGCCATCAGCGAGGCACACATATCTGGGGTCCCAGAAGGGGTCCCAGAAAAGCAAAAATGCTGCACTGTGTTTCGGCAATGCGTGCAAGGACAGATGCCTGTGATGAATCCTGTCA